TACATTTGTATGATGTAGAACTGGTATCAACTTCCGTTATTTTCGGAAAATACTATATGTCATTAAAAGAGTTACAGTTTTATATGTGTTCGTCATTTCAAGTCCTTATAAGACATTATATCATTTGACAAGAACTTTTTGGACATTTGAAATTATTAAGATTTTTTCTTAAATGAATATTGGTGCCTTGAATGAATATTGATGAATATGGATATTAAAATTTACTAGAATACATAGCCATTATATTATAGAAGTCTGAAGATGCATATACTGAAGATGTATGAGGCAACTCTGAGATTTAAAAAAAATTACAAAATTAGATCAAATAATATATAAAGGAAGTTTTATGAAGAATAATATTAAAATAATGTCTCACACACACACACACATATTATGAAGTTTATGAATTCGTTATAAAAATTAGATAGAACATAGTTTCTTCATTTCTAGTCACTTCATTTCTTAATTTCTTTATCTCTGATCAGATGAATGTTGGGATTGACATTTTCTTCTTCTAAATTGTGATATGAGAATGTGAGAAAGAGAGAGATAAGGTTAACTATGAATAAAAATTAGTCAATGCTGAAGACCAGCGACCATACATAAATCTATGAAGGATCTACGGAAGAACTGATGTTGAAATCGTGTCTCCGTCTGTCCTCAGGCGGGCAATACGTGCAGCAGGATGCGCCCTTACGCGAGAGTCCTGGGTGAAAGAGATTCCAGCAACATGAAAATCTGGCAAAGAGATTACGCTACCGTTGCGATTTGCAAGTGGTTCCCTGACTTGATATATCCGTCGTTTCAAAAATACGACGACCCAGGCTTCATTCCAGAAGCAAAAATCTTGAAGAAGCATCAATTGATTAAGAAAACGAGAGATATAAGGCATTCATCCTGCGGTGCACCTGTTACGGAAGAAAATAATCATCAATCGTTGCCAGCGTCTTTGTTGAATCATGACGAAAAGTCGATGAAGAAATTTAAAAATATTACGACATTTTCAAATACAGAGGCATGCTGTAGAGCAGCAAAAGAACTGACCAATTTGATATCAATAGCATTGAATAATCAATCGAAATTATTACGCGAGATCTATGGCCGTATCAGATTTTGTTCGTCTTTGTTCAATTTTATAAATCATACGTGTGCAAATAACCGTGAAATAGTTGCACTCAATCACAATAACAAAACATTGATCGATACGTTAAATGTCGTTGAACAGAAAAATTGGATTCAACGAACATGCTCCAAAATCAAATCCATACTCCCAGACCTACAGGCTAAAATCCGATTGCATTCGGCAACCACATCGGACTCGTATTGTTTGGAAAATATTTTTGCGGTGAACCAAGAGATTCCGCTTTCCGATATAATTTCCAACAGTGCGATTCTCTTCTCGGAGGATCGCAAAGATCAGAAACCGAAGGCTCAAAAAATCGGGATTCGTCAAAAGATACAGGAGTTTTGCATGCGGAACAAAGTTTCGAACAAGAAGAGAAATAGAGATGATTTTTGTAAGAACAGAGAGAGAAAACGATCGTGTAAAACGAAGAAGATGATGGAAGAAATAGATCAAACGAGGGAAGAGATTTGCAAGAAAAAAAGAATTGATTGCTCCAAATCGAAGAAACGGACAAAATGTAAGAAACAAGATGTAATTTCTGATAAAAGAGTAAAGGATTCCTACGATAAAGAAAGTGTCCGCAATTGCCGTAAAACTCGTGAGCAAAAGGTCCAAGAAGAATTAAGTAAACAGAAAAAAGATGATATTTGTAAAACTAAAAAAGATCTGGAGCAAACTTATTACAAATTACACGATGCAAGTCCATGTAGGCAGGAGGAAAAGGATGAAATTTGTAAAACTAAAGAAGATTTCGCAGTGAACAGAGTCTTTGAAGCAAGAACAAACTTGTTATAAATTACACGATGCAAGTCCATGCAGGCAGGAGGAAGAGGAACAGAAAAAGGATGAAATTTGTAAACTAAAAAGATTTTCGCAGTGAACAGAGTGTTTTGAAGCAAGAACATACTTGTTATAAATTACACGATGCAAGTCCATGTAGGCAGGAGAAAAAGGAACAGAAAAAGGATAAAATTTGTAAAACTAAAGAAGATTTTCGCAGTAAACAGAGTGTTTTGAAGCAAGAACAAACTTGTTATAAATTACACGATGCAGATCCATGTAGGCAGGAGAAAAAGGAAGAAATCAAAAAGCAAGAACAAACTTTTTATGACCTGTACGACACTACTCGATGTAAGGCAAAAAAGAAAGAAGAAATCAAGAAAAAAGAAGAAATAAAACAGAAAGAAATCAAGAAGCTTGATTGCACAGAGATTAAGAAAGTTAAGTCATGTGATAAAAACCACCTGTAGAAAAAGCTCCAGATTGTTCTAAAGACGATAGAAAGAAAAAGGGCCGATGAAAATATTTTACTTATGTATTTTTGTATGTACGAAATGTTTGCCGAAAAAATAGTCTCTTTTTATGTAGATTAATTATAACAGCAGGTTTTAAAAATTGTTATGTAAATATTAATCATTAAAGTCTACATTAATTTCAAAGTGAATTATTTGAAAAAAAATTGGAATTTCTCTTTATCAAATCTGTAAAGTACATAATGTCAAATTCATTTGTAACCTTGCGAGTAATAAAAAAATTATTTTACATAATGGTATGCGTTTTAATTTAATTTTTTGATTATGAAGACTTTTCATGTGTGTAAATA